GGGTGTGTGGGCGTGTAAGTGTGTGGGGGCGGGAGTGAATGGTGAGAGCAGGAGGGTCAATGTTGCGGGCGGCAGGTGGGAGGAGGTAAATTGGGAGGGAGGAGTGTTGCGTGGGGTGCACAAACAGGACACACACAGCAGACATGCAGTACACACACAGTACACATGCAAGATGCATGAAGGAAACACACATGGTAAACGCATGCAGTCAATACGCAGCCCGCATACTGCGAACACGCGCAGTCAACACACACAATGGAAACACCATACACATGCAGTCGACACATGCAGTCAACACATGCAGTCAAAACATGCAGTAGACACACAGAATCGCACCTTGGGGAACCGAGATATCGCGTCGTGGATGCAGGCCGCTTTGGCGGCCGCCTCGACCTCGGCGTCGCTCGACCCCGGCCGGCCATAGCGGATGTTGTAGCGGATCGTGTCGTTAAACAGCACGCTGCGGGGTGGGGTTACGGACAGGCGGTTACAGGGGTTTCCGAGGTTATGCGGGGGCCGCCGGCGGTCTTCGTGATTGTGAGTTGTGCGGAATGTTGTGCAGGGGGGGTTGGTTTGCAGTCATTGTGGAAACTCTGCAGTTTACCAAACCACGCAGCAGCCGTGGGTGCAGTCATAATTCCCGGCCCGAGCCCAGACCACGGCTCCGCACTGGACACTGCTCGCCGCCGCCGCGCCGCCGGCCCCCTGGGAACGCCGTGCTGGTTGCAGCCCCCAGGCAGACCCTGAGTTTGGCACACCCCCCCCCCCCCTGCTTCACGCGCACGCAAGCTCGCGTGTGCACACCCAAATGCAAGCACGCACGCACACACGCAAAGCTGGCGGGCAACGGGGTGCAGGCGCCTCAAAAAGGCAGGGGCGGGCTCACCAGTCCTGGGGCACCATGCCTATTGCGGCCCTGAGGCTGGCCTGGGTGACGGCCCTGATGTCCTGGCCGTCCACGGTGATGGAGCCAGAGGTCACGTCAAAGAACCTGGAAAACAGGGGTTTAAACAAGAGAATAATTGTGTTTATGTGAGTGATCATGGCGTATGTATGTGTGTGTGTGTGTGTTTGTGTGTGCACATGTGTGCGTGTTGAGGAGTAAGGTGGGGGGAAAGGGGAAGGAGAAACCTCTGTGTCAGTGTTCAGTGTCATCAGGGAGCGCGGGATCCAGAGGCGGGGCCCCCGCCCCCAAAACACCCCGGGTGAGGTCGCTGCCGCGGCCAGGGCCGGCGGCAGGGGAGGCACGGCAGGGTCCGGGGCGGCAGCAGCGGAGCAGGCGCGTTCGAGGAGCAACGAGCCGCTGAGAGACGGCGACAGGGCTGGACCGCGGCCCCATCTTTGAGAAACAAACTGCGGCTTGACGCCTGACACAAGAAACAGTGTGCAAGTTTTGCCTGGCCTGCACATGGGCCGGCAGGGCCCGCCCTCATCACCTGAACAGGAGGCGCGTGAGGGTGGACTTGCCGCTGCCCGTCGCCCCCACAAACGCCACGGTGCTGCTGGGGGGCGCGTGGAAGGACACCTGGGGGGGAAAGGGGGGTGGGTTGAGGGTGCGTGTGTTCTCATGGGGATGCACCCATGCAGTTGGGTGGGTTGCAACGGCGCGAGCTGAGTGGGAGCGTCCACGCACGCCCAGGATGTATCGAGCTGGGGCAGTCGGTGCTGATACTGGGGACAGGGCTCCGCGCCCAAGTGTGCTCAAGACGCTGGCGCACGCATGCATGCACACACGCACACGCACGTATGCACGCGCGCACGCGCGCGCGCACACACACACACACACACACACACACACACACGCGCGCGTGTGCGCGCACACACACACGCACACGCACACACACACCTCTTTGAGCACCGTCCTGCTGGGCTCGTAGCCAAAGCTCACTCCCGAGAAGCTGACTTCACCCCCCTTCAGGGCCAGGGCCTTGGCGCCCGTCGCGTCGCTCACGCGCCCCTTGGTGTCCAGGAGCTGCGGGCCAAACCCCAAAGAGAGGCGGGGGCAGAGGGTGGTTGCCTCAGCGCTGAGCGGTTTACGACGAGCTTCCCTTGCAAAGAGTTCGTGTGTGAGCGAATGGGCCGGGTCGGCTGAGCGGGCGGGCGGCGTGCGATAGTTGCGGGTTGGAATCAGAGCCCCGTCGTGGAATGCAGCATGGCTGCGTGAAAGGGACGCGAATGTCTCCCTTCTCAACCGGGACGTTTGGGGCGAGGGCAAGGCGCAGGCGCCTGCGCGGCAGCCGCCCCCCGTTGGGCGCGGGGCTTCCAGGGAGGGGCGCTTTGGAAATGTGGAATGACCGATGACGCAACCCGTCGTAACACCAATACCACCTCGCACCAGGGCCCCCTTGCAGGCGACAACCCAAGCTTGCGTGTTTTCGAAACACCACTAATTCGGCTGTTCGACTTTGGCGCATTATGGGTGGTGGTGACTCGTCATGACATGGTTTGACTAACCTGCAGCAGGTTCTCCATGTCGATCATGTACTGCTGGATGACGCGGTAGTAGGTGCCTGGGGGGTGGGGG